GGCTATGACTCAGTGTTAAAGTGCTTGCCTAACATGTATAAAGAAGATCTTGGGTTCATCTCCCACCCTAGCACTGCAGGCAAACAGTTCCCCACAAGCCATGAGCATGAAACTTAGTACATAAGTACTTATACTGGGTAGTTGAACAACTTCAATTTTCTTTCTTTTTGCTTGCTTCTTAAACTTATTTTTGTTATTTTGAGTTAGGACTCATTCTGTAGCCTAGGCCGGTCTCAGATTCTTAATCATTCTGCCTCTGCTGCTCAAGGGCTTGGGTAACAGGTATGCTCCATGTTTGGCTTTCAGGGGTGGATAGGGTCTGACTTTTGCAGTGTTGCCTAGGCTGATCATGAGCCCTGGACGCTACTGTTCTCCTGCTTCTGATAGTAGCTGGGAACATACATGCATGCTGCAGCTTCTGAAGCCATTTAAGTCACCTCCTTTCCAATCCCCAGAGATAAATAAGTATTATTTATTGTCTTTTTGAGACACGGTTTCCCTGTTGTCCCATCTGGCCTGGAACTCACAATGTAGACTAGGCTGGCCTCCTCCTCACAGAGATCCATCTGCCTCTGCCTCCTGAGTGCTGAGAATGAAAGGCATGTGCCACCACGCTGGCCTTTCTTTTTCTTTCTTTTCTTTTTTTTTGTTGGCATTTTTGAGACAGGGTCTCCCTGTAGCCCCAGATGACCTGGAACTCGCCACGTAGACTAGGCTAACCTTAAACTCACAGGCCTGCCTCTGCCTCCTGAGTGCAAGGCATGCACTACCACATTTTTTTTTTTTTTTGAGAGAGGCCTCACTATATAGCCCTGACTGGCCTAGCACTTGTTTGTAGGCCAGGCTGGCCTCAATTTACAGTGGTCCACCTGCCTCTGCCTCCCAAGTGCTGGGATTAAAGATATGTGCCACCACACCCAGCAACCCCTGGGATAATTTTATCATATAAAATGAAAGTGTAGGGAATGGACATAGGATTTTGAATTTGAGACCAGCCTGGGCTACATAGCAAGGCCCTATCTTCAAAACAAAAGAAACACAGCAGTTCTTGTTAGTCAGTGAAATGCTTACCAGGAAAGCATGAGGACCTGAGTTCATAGTCCCTTGAACCACATTAAAAAGCTGGCATAGTAGCATATTCCATAAGAAAGTAGATCCCTGGGGCCAGCCTGCCTAGCCTACTTGGCCTGCTTAGGTCAGCGAGAGACCATGTCTTAAAAAAAGCAATGAACAACGTCTTCTGACCTCCACACGTGCATGTATGCATGTACACACACACACACACATGCACCAGTGCTCACACACAAAATTAATGTATCTATTTAAAAATAGAGTTAGGGCCTGGAGAGATGTCTCAGAGGTTAAGAACACTGGTTGTTCTTGCAGAAGACCCAGGTTTGAATCTCAGCACCCACATGGCAGCTAACAACTGTCTGTAACTCCAGTCCCAGGGGATCCGACAGCCTCTTCTGACCTCCTTGGGCATTGCTGGACATGGGTGCACTTACCTACATACAGGCAATAAATACATGCATACACACAAAATAAAAAAAGAAATATAATAAAAAAAAACTTAAAAAAAAAAAAGCCGGGCATGGTGGCACACACCTTTAACCCCAGCATTTGGAAGGCAGAGGGAGGCGGATCACTGTGAATTTGAGGCCAGCCTGGTCTAAATAGCGAGTTCCAGGTCAGCTGGGGCTACAGGGAGACCCTGTCTCAAAAAGACCAAAAAAAAAAAAAAAAAAAAAGTAAAAATAAAAATAGAGTTAGGAGTGACATAATCTCAACTCTGGGGAAGCTGTGTTATGAGGGCCACAAATTCTAGGCTAGCCTAGTTTACATAGCAAGTTCTAGGCCAGCTAAGGCTACACGGTGAGACCTATCTCAAATCTGCTCTCCGCATCACCCAAAAAAAAGTGTGTTTTGAGTTTCTGCACTGAATCCAATGCCAGGTTTATGAAAAGGAGTTGCTCTACCATTAACTTACATCACAGCCTCTAAACTTCATTTATACTAATATGTAAAGTAATATGTTAAAATTTTAAAGAGAATTTTCAAAAGCAGAAAAAATCCTAAAACAAATCTACTGTTTCTAGATCATTTATACTTATCCAGAAGAATTTTTTTTTTCTGAGATGGTCTCACTAAACTACCCAGTTGACCTTGAACTTGCCCTGAAGCCCATGCTGGCCTTGAGCTTGTTCTGTAGCCCAGGCTGGCCTTGTACTTTCTCTTCTTTTGCCTCAGCCTTCTGAAGTGACTTGGATGAACCAGCTGACCCAGCTTAGAAATAGGCTCTAGACAGCTGTCCAGAACACCTCTGCTTGTATCAGTAGCACAACAGTTCCTTGGAGCTTTTACCTCAACCATGGTCTGCTTTACTCAGAATTACAGAACTGTGAGATAACAGTGCCCCATTCTTCTCCATCATGCCTAGTTCTAGAAGATAAGGAAATGGAAACCCTGCCTTCTTCATAGTAAAATGTATCTACTTAGGAACAATGCAGGACACCATCATCCCAGGTAACTCTTCTCTGGTAGTTAATGAGAAAGTTAATAGTGTTAATAGTGTCCTGGTATTCCTCTAAGGCATGCTTTCTGCTGTTTTGGGACAAATTCCTACTGTGGATCCCAGGGTGTTGAATTCTAAATCTTCTTGAAAAGCTTCCAAATGCTGAGAGTACAGATGTGCCACACCACAGTTGGCCTATTTTTTTTTTAAATGCCCCACAGACAGGCACACTGGTCAGCCTAATGGTGGCGGCAATTCTTTTCTTTATTTTTATTTTCTCTTCTCTGAATTAACTGTGGAATGTTTCCGTCATCCATGTAAGCCTTTGCTCACATAATACAATATACACTCTTAGTGAAGTACACCCTGAACATCCTCTTCAACATTTAGTTCTATTCTGTTTTCATTTTCCTCTCTTGTGCATTCTGTGTTTCACATGTGGAAGATCTTCAGTATGAAGGAGATGCACAGGACAGTTTCTCATGAAGGACCCAGCATAGGGAGAGAGTCATTGAGGAGGAGCATCTCTTGGGGAAAACCAAGGAAAGTTATGGAGACACATAGTCAAGGGGAGCCTGCCTGCTTTCTTCCATCTATTTCCCTCCTCCTCCTTCCTATTCCTTTTCCTCCTCCTCTTCTTTTTGGGGTGTCTTGCTGTATATCCTAGGCTACTATTACAATTGGTAGTCCTCCTGCCTCAGTTTCCCCTAGTATTAGGATTGCAGTTGTATCATGTACTATTGTCAGGATTCGTCGGAAGGGTTCATGGCAGACTAGCCATTCCTGCAGCACAACAGATGGTGTGGTGATTTTGAACTTTTTGTAGTTTTTTGAAACAGGGTCTCATGCATCCCAGGGCAATGATGACCTTGAACTTTGGATCCTCCTGCTTCTGCCTGTAATCTAACTGCTAGGATTATAGGTGTGCTTCAGCTGCTCAGTGTATGTGGTGCTAGGGATCAAACCCAGCTAGATAGTCTAGCAACTGAGCTACATTCCCAGTCTCTCTATAGAGTTCTATTGGGTCAGCATCTTTCACGTTGGATCTGACATGTTCATAGGTGCAGTAACAGAAACAAGTGACAGTAAGAATAACCATTCACACTAATGAGATGAATTTTGAAATTTAGAGTTTCTTAGCTGGGCATGGTGGTGCATGCTAATAATTCTAGCACTGCAGAGGTAGAGGAGGGGATTGAGAGCTCAAGACTAGCCTGGGCTACATAGTGAATTCAGTGTGTGGTGCAGAATGAGACAAAAAGATCAAAATTTCACATGGACAGTGAGAAAAAAGCCAAACAGAGTGACTAGTGCATGCTGGTTTAGGACAGTTAGTCATTTTGAGTGTCAGTGAACTTTTTCTTTCCCTTCCTTTATATAATCCATTGAAGTATTGGTGATTTTATTTATTTAATTTTTTATGACATTTATTCATCCATTTGTGTATGTGTGTGAATGTGTATGTAGAGTTCAGAGGATACCCTGCAGGAGTGAGTTCTCTCCCTCCACCAGGTGAGACCCAGGGATCACAATCAGGTCATCAGGCCTGGCAGCAGGCACTTTTACATACTGAGCTGTCTCAAAGGCCTCTGGTGCTAGTTACTGTAAAGATTTTTTTTTTAATTTTGTGTGTATATGTGTGTGTGTATCTGTGAGAGAGAATGCCATGTGTGCTTGGAGGCCGGAAGAGGGCATCGAATCCCCACAAGCTGAAGTTACAGGCAGTTGTGAGCTCTTGGCTTGGGTGCTAGGAACTGAACTTGTGTCCTTTGAAGAGCAACAAGTGTTCTTAACTGCTGAACTATCTCTTTCCTCTATAGTTAACTTAGTATTTTTTGTTTGTTTGTTTGTTTCTTTAGACAGGGTCTTCCTTTGTAGCCCTGGCTGACCTGGAACTCACAGAGCTCTGCCTGCCTCTGCCTCCGGCGAGGCAGATTAAAGGTGTGCAACCAACCATGCCCGACCTCCTTATGGTTACTTTAACAAAAACTGTTTCTTCTTTGCTTGGAAAAATTGAAAACACCTGCTTTGTGTTGCCAGTATACACTGGGGTCTTCATTCTACTGCTTGGTATCTTCAGCTGTACCTCAATGTTTGTTGAAAGTAGGCTCTAATTGCTGCTGTCTGGTCCCTCACCATTCTACCATCCCTCAGTAGTTTGCTTCTCAGAGTTACAGGCATGTGTCACCACACCTGGTTCTTGCCCTTCAATTTTTCCTTGTTGAATTCTGCATCTTTCAGATCTAACTCATTTATTCCGAGAGTATGATTGTCAGGGTTATTCTAGCCCAGGAGGGTCTTCACATGTTTAGCAGTGTGGTTTGTTCCTACAGCTGTGTAGTCATACCATGTTCTAAGTGTGGGAAACCTGTCTGGGGGTGGGTTCAGTTTCATCTGAAGGTCTTATACTTTGTGTCATATGTAGAACTTTCTATAGAAGTTTTTAAAATGTGTCCCACAAGTCAATATGTTCTTGTGTTTATAGACCTGAAAAATGTCTGAAAATTCCAGTGACAGTGATTCATCTTGTGGTTGGACTGTCATCAATCATGAGGTATGCTGTTTGATACTTGTACTGGACAGTGGGTAATCTGCATGTTAGCAGTGGTGTGAACTGGTGAAGGTCAGTGTTTTTCTACAGTTAAGCCATAGGTTCCATTGCCTATAGTTGGTGATTTCCCACCATATTAAACTTTACTGCTAAAATACCATTGAGCTGCAGACAGCCCCAACCCTTTTAAAAAATTTATTTTGGGGCCAGGTGTGGTGGCATACGCCTTTGGTCCCCACACTTGGGAGCAGAGGCAGGAGGATCTCCTGAGTTCAAGGCCAGTCTGGTCTACATAGCGAGTTACAGGCCAGCAGGCCAGCTGGGCTACAGGAAGACCCTGTCTCAAAAAGACAAAAAACAAAAACAAAACAAAAACTTGTTTTGAGACAGGGTTTCACTATAAGCTGCCCCAGCTGGCCTTGAAGTCAGTATACAGCCCAGGCTGATTTTGAACTTAAGATCTTTCTGTCTCACGTGGGATTACAGGCCTGTGTCAACATCCACAGATTTATTTATTTACATACTGAAGGTGGGTGATATTTTAGACAAGGGTCTCACTATGTATCCCTTACTGGCCTCAATCCTGCAGGCATCCTTCTTCCAGGTGCTGGGCTTACAGGTATGTGCCAGCATGCCTGAATTTTTTCTTTTCTTTTCTGTTTTTGAGACAACAGCCTCATTCTGTAGCCTAAACTGGCTTGGAACTGAAGGTAACCTGCCTCAGCCTCTCAGTAGTGGGATTACAGGTATGATCCATAGCTCCCTGCTTTTTAAATGAAGTAGAAGTGAGGATTTATTAAGATGGTATATACTTAGGTTTGCATGTGGGGAGGACAACAATACATACTCAGGAGGAAGTATGGGCTGTGCAGAGAGTAGCAGTGCCAGGATTTTGGTTACTGTTAAACTCTTTGCAGCCCAGCATCATCTCCATTACTGTTGCTACCAACCTAGCTACATAGGGAGTTCCAAGACAGCAGGGGCTACATATTGAGACTCTTGTCTCAAACACCAACCAACCTAACAAACAAAAAAAGAGTTTTGTTAGACATACAATGAATGATTTAAATAGAATATAATAAACATTGATTTTTTTTTGACATTGGTTGTATACATTATAGAAAAGTCATAAAATACTCAAAAACAGGAAAAAAATAAGATCAGCCAACTTGTTTAAAGTTTTAATATCAAAAGTTTTGACACTTTATTTTTAGGATTTTATAAGTTTCACTTATTTTCCTTCATCAATTTTATATATATATATATTTGTTTATTTTTTGTTTTATAGGCAGGGGCCCTCTGTGTAGCCCAGGTTGGCCCAGGCTGCCCTCTGAAACTGGACATTTTCCTGGCCCCCACCTTCCAAGTACTTGAATCATTGACATGAGCCATCAGGTCCAGCTGACACTGGTGTTTGATGGTTTTAAAAATAAATTACTTTGGGGTCAGGAGAGATGGCTCAGTGGTAAAGAGCACTGACCTCTCTTCCAGGTGACCTGGGTTCAGTTCCCAGCACCCACATGGCAGCTAATAGCAGTCTACAACTCCAGTTCCATGGGATCTAACACCCTCTTTTGACTTCTGTGGGCTTTGCATGACGTGGGTACACTTACATACATGCAGGCAGAACACTCATACACATAAAATAAAAATAAATGAATTTTAGGGGCTGGAGAGATGGCTTAGCAGTTTAGAGCACTGGTTCTTCTTGCAAAGGACCCGGGTTCAGTTCCTAGCACCTACATGACAGCTGACAACTGTCCATTACTCCAGTTCCAGGGGATCCAGTGCCTCTGGCCTCTGTGGGCACCCTCACATTTGGCATACCCCCCACCATAAAAATAAGTCTTAAAAAAAAATTGTTATTTTGAAGCCAGGCGTGATGGCGTATGCTTTTAGTCCCAGCAACTCGGGAGGCAGAGGCAGGCAGATCTCTGTGAATTCAAGGCTAACCTGGTCTACATAGTGAGTTCCAGGCCAGCTGGGGCTACAGGAAGAATCTGTTGCAAAAATCCAAAAAATATTGTTATTTTGATAATTGAAGATTTAGAGTACAGAATTTGTTAGTCATGTCTTCTGCAAACAACATTAGTTTAAAAATAAATAGGGGCCAGTTAGATTGCTCAGCAGGAACTTCACAAGTCTGACCATCCTTGGGACCTAAAAAGTAGAAGAAGACAGCCAGCTCCTTTAAGTTGTCCTCTGACTTCTGTGCACACATAGAGTTAAAAATAGCCTTCTGGGGCCAGAGAGATGGCTCAGTGGTTAAGAACACTGGTTGTTCTTGCAGAAGACCCAGGTTCGAATCCCAGAACCCACATGGCAGCTAACAACTGTCCATAACTCCAGTCGCAGGGGATCCGACAGCCTCTTCTGACCTCTGTGGGCATTGCACGACATGGGCGCACTTACCTACATGCAGGCGTATTGCATGCATACACATAAAAAATAATAAAATTAAAAAATAGCCATCTTTCTTTTACAGTTTCAATATTTAATAGCAACTGTACCAACTGAGATTGAAGGAGGTGAAGGTTCTCTGTTGGTGTGAGAGTTGACAGCCTCACTGTGTAGCTGGCTGGACAGGAACTCAAGATCATTCTAGAACTTCAGCTATTCAAGTGCTGGAATTATAGGCATGTGCTACCACTCCCGGTTTTTGTTTTGTGAGTTGTTTTTTTTTTAAATACAGCCGACTGGCTTTATTATCCTCTTGCCTCAGAGCTAGAATTGTAGGTGTCTGCCACGGTTCCCAGTCCTTTTTAATTTAATTAATTATTTTTTAAGAAAGGGTCTCTGTATAACACCCTATCTATTCTGGCTATTCTGGAACTCACTGTGTAGACCAGGAAGGCCCCCCACCTTGCAACAATCCTTCTGCCTCTGCCTTCCAAATGCTGTGGTTACATTCATTTACTACTATGCCTGGCTTGGTTCTTTTTAAATTACAAGTGATTTTCTATTTTTAACCTGTTTCTACAAAACTCAAATGAGCTTCTGAGTAGCTTCCCCTATAAGGATAATTGAGAGGGTCGAAGGAAGTTAGCATTCGGGATTGGCTGTGAGCCTGCAGGGTGGAATGGGACAGCCAGTACTGTGGCACTTAATCATTTGGGTCACACATCCCAGAGTTACTTGTGCTTTTACTTTTTAGCTTTCTTGAGACAGGGTCTCTAGGCTTGGCTGGCCTGGAAGTCACTATGTAGCCCAGGCTGGTCTCAAACTTGAGATACTCCTGCCTCAACTTCCTGGCGCTAGGATTACACACAGCTAAGGTCTCTTAGCTGTTTCGTTTTCCTTTTCATTACTCCCATTCAAATTTGGTCTAGAACTAGTTTCCTTAAGCAATTCACAAGTCAGTTTTAATTTGCCTTTGTGTTTGCCATTTTCCTGCCAGGGCAGACAACCTTGAAGTCTTAATATTTAGCACTCTCTTTAGGACTCAGAGTTTATTGCTTAGCCTTGTAAAATAGCCCAAGCATTCTGTGTTCACTTGACATGGACTTGAAGCCTGTGGCTCCACCCTGTAGTTTCATTAGCACAGGCCTGTACTGACTGAGCTGAACAAAGCCAATTATAGCAGATGCTGTTTTAGAGCGTGGCAGCATTTGGGACTGGTAGTAATGGAAACATCTAGGTAGAATCCAGTCCAGTCCTGCTTTGGGGAGGTACTATGCAAATAACCGAATAATTACCATTTTCCCCCTAGGGTTCTGATGTGGAGATGAATTCTGTCACAGTCACTGACAACTGTGAACTGACCCCAGAATGTTCCTCTCTAGAACCAGAGGAACTGCAAGTACTGGAGATAAAGCATGGAGGTGGAGGTGCGTTGTGAAGTCCCGACTTCTTTGTCTGTAGGGTGGGGTTAATTTTTTAAAAATTGCTTTATTATTTTTATTTTATGTATATGAGTATATTGCCTGCATGTACCTGTGTTGTGCAGTGTCCATAGAGGTCAGATGAAGGCATCAAATCCCCTGGAACTGGAGTTACGGGCAATTGTTAGCTGCCTTGTGGATGCTGGGAATTGAACACAGGTCCTGTGTAAGAACAGCTAGTGCTGTTAACCACTGAGCCATCTCTCCAGCACCATCCCCCCACCCCCCCCACCTTTTTTTTTTTTTTTTTTTAAGACAGGGTCTCACTGTGTAGTCCTGGCTGACCTGGAACTCACAGAGATCTACCTGCATCTGCTGGATTATGTATCAGTTTTGATATCCAATGAGTTTATTTTAGAAATAGTGAATGAACTTGTAAGAAGTGATGTCTGAGAACAGATTTCCCCTGTTAATAGATAGGAACACTTCGGATTAAGTGATTTTGGTGTTACAAGCTAGAGGTTTTATTCAGATTAGCTGTGAATTTGAATTCTTAGAGAATCTTTAATGAGTTCAGTTTTATGGTTAAAATTGTCCCTTCACAGTTTCAAGTAATTGAAATGTGTTAGCGAGAGCAGCATGACTCTCTCTGTGACATTACATTGCTTCACGTCAACATACTGGGAACAGATTTTTAGTCCATCTTGATTATATGTAGACTATAAAAGTCAGCAGTGTTTTCAATGAAAGGACTAATTCTTTGGATCTTTGCTTTATACCAGAAAGCAGTGAGAACAGCACATTGTTAAGGGGAGAAACGGCTTTGGAAGAAGCTAAGTCAACAATTGAGGTAAACTTGTGTTTCATTCTGTGAATGTATGATAAACACTGTTTTTCTATTTGTAGCCAAGCAGTCTATTCCTACTTAAATTATAAGAAAATTTGTGGAAAAAATGGTCAATATTATGATTAATTTCTGTTGAGTTTCAAAGCTCTGAGCACTAAGCAAGTGCTCTGCCCCTGGGCATCTCTCACAGTTCCTGTCTTCTGATTTACAAGAGTAATGTATTAATATTCTATGAAAGAACTGTTCTTTTAATTTGAAGTATGATGTGTGTGTGTGTGTGTGTAAAATGCCCCCCCGACATATTGGAAATAATTATATATGTGTGGGATGGTATCTGAGTGTATCTGCACTGTGTGCACACAGACGCAGTATTATATATTCATATATATTCAATATAATTATTGACTTACATTCAAATTTCAGAGGTTATGTCTCAAAGGTTAGTTTTTACATTTGATAACAAACTAAATATTATTTGGAGTTAAACTTGTCTTTGGGTAAAACTGCTTGGCTAGATCATCTTTGTATGATCTCTTTGTTCCTTGGTGGGTGCTGTAACAAAATATCTGAGTCTGGATGACATAAAGAACAAGAATTTGTTTCTGGAGGGGCCTGGAAAGATGGCTGGGATTAAGAGTGCTTGCTACACAGTCTTGAGGACCAGAGTTCAGATCCCAACACACATGTAACAAGCTGGGCATCTTGCAAATGCCTATAACTCCAGCTCCAAGGGATCCTACGCCCTCTTGTGTCTGTATGCACACAGTGTGGATATGCTCAGACCCTGCCCCCCCACATATAAGTAAATAAATCTTTAGGTTTGATGAGATGGCTAAGTGGGTAGAGGCACTTACTGAATCTGACAACATAGTTTGATTCCCTAGGACCCACATGGTGGAAGAAGAGAAGCAATTGCTGAAAGTTGTCCTCTGACCTCCAAATGCCCTGCTTAGCCCCCTCAATGTCATTAAAAAAAAATTCTAGAGACTGGGAAGTCCAAGGTGAAGGTGCTAACTGGTTTGGGGTGTGATGAAGCAGGTTGCTTCCTGCCTCAAGGTGGTGGTGCTTTTTTTTCTTGCCACATCCTCTACCGGGGACAGATGTAATGTCCTCAGATGACAGAGAAATGGAATGGTAAAAGGACATCACACTGTGTGAAGCCTGCTCTACATGAGGGGGAGCCTGCCTCTTAACACAGCATCCTCTTTAATCTCCCCTTCTTCAGTCTGCAGCCATAAATCCTGGTCCTATCTGTGGTTTCAGGTTTCCATTGAGTATCTTAGAATATGTCACCTGAAGATATGGGGCACTCAGTGTCCTATCACTTTGATGATTAAGGTCTACCATACAGATTTCATGGGATGGGACTGGAGACATGGCACAGTGGTTAAGAGCACTGGGTGTGCTCTTATAGAGGACTGGGGTTCAATTCTTAACATTCACATGGCAGCTAAGAACCACGTGTTCCAGGGGAACTAATGCCCTCTTCTGGCCTCCAGGCACTTTGCCAAATATGGTATACTCACATGCTGGCAAAACACTCACACAGATAAAATAAAATCAAATAAATCTTAAGAGTGCTGGGGGAGTTGTTACATGGTAGAACCCTATTGTGCACAAGGCCCTGGATTCCATCCCCAGCCATGAAAAAGTGGGAAAAAAAATGAAGAAAGAAATAATGCCAGGTACCATTATGCATTTTGAACTGTGAAGAAAACTGAGACTCTTAAATTACTGAGTTCACTATCTGTAAAATGATGGTTCCATAGGGAGAGGAAACAATGTCACCCGAGGACAATGTCTACTTTGGAACTTCCAGCGACGATTCTGATATTGTTACCCTTGAGCCACCTAAGCTAGAAGAAATGGTTAAAGAAGCCCCCAGTTCAGAAGACTTCAACATGGGCTCTTCCTCCAGTAGCCAGTACACCTTCTGCCAGCCAGAGACCAGTAAGAACTCTCTTAAGATAATGCCTTTTTGTGACACTATATTTAATAGCTTTTTTTCTAAGCCTAACTCAACTTTTGAAGTTATCTCTCCAAAACTCAAGAAAATTCTGTGTAAAGCTGTTGCAGTGTTTCTCCTTCCTTGCCTCTCTGACTTAGAGCACAGTGTTCTTTGAGACAATATTATTTTTACTTGTTTTTTCTTGTGGCACTGGGAAGTGAACCTGAGGCATTGCACTTACTAGGCCGGTGCTCAGACACAATTTATTAAATTATCAAGTCCTCAAAAGCTATATTTGACTTTTGAAAATTGATTGATGGCTAAGGTCTAGTAGGGTTTATAGTTATTAGTTAACTCATGGTTATAATTTAAGGATTATGGAAGAAGCAACTTAGAACTGCTAGTGATTTTAAACACTTCCCAATTTGGTGAAAAACCAAAGAATGTGTAGTGTCTTTCAGGTAAGCTTCTTAGAGTTTACTTTTTTTGGCGGGGGGGGGGGTTCTTTTTGAGACAGGGTCTCCTGGTAGCCCCAGCTATCCTGGAACTCGCTTTGTAGACCAGCTGGCCTCAAACTCACAGATATCCACTTGCCTTTGCCTCCACGCCTGGCAGATTTACCATTTTTTAGATAGTGACATTCTCATTCCAGTTTAAGGTAATAAAATGTGATGTTATTTCTTGGTTTTTCGTTGCTTGTTTGTTTTGGGACAATGTAGTTGGCCTATGTAGACTGGGCTGGCTACCCTTGAATTCATTATAGTCTTCCTGCCTCAGCCACTTGAGTGCTAGGATTAAAGGCATGTGTCATAATGCCCAGTCCTGTAGATTGTTTTTTATTTTTTTTTTTTGAGATAAATAATCTCAAAATCTCTTTTTTTAATGATACAGGTTTTAGTTAGTGATTGCATAGAGGCTAGAACCATTTTGCTCACTATTTGATGACTCACATGATGTTTGTGATAGAGTAGCTAGCGCACCAGCCCATCCTTACCTGGTGCCCACAGAGAGTTGGTTCCAGGACCTCAGCAGTTCTCCAGCCCTTTGGGCACTCAGTCCCTTTTACAAAGCAAAATGATATCCTGTGTCTGTATAAGGCATGTCGGATACAGTGAGTTTGTGTTAGTAGTAGCTAGGCTGTGTTAGGGAATGATGAGGAAAGGTGTGCATGTTTAGACCAGAGGGAATTTTTTTTTTTTTCCTGAATATTTTTAATCCGTTGTTTGTTGAGTCTGGAAACCTGCAGATGCAGATGACTGACTGCATGTTTATTTACAACGGTTGATAGGTTGGTCTTAGGATTCAACAAGAATTGAAGTTAATTTTCTTTTAATTTCTAGAATACCAGTGTATTTAAATACGTGCCTAGTTTTGATACATTTACTTGTTCATTCATGTATCTTCTCCCTCTGGTATAAGAATATGTGTGGCAGGAGATAGGAACCCAAACTTCCCTTCTAGAAGACCTGAGTTCCACTCTAGCACCCAGGTCAGGTGGCTCCCAGCAACCCATAACTCCAGCATTGCACTCATGATACACAAACCCCCACAGAGACAGAAACATATACACATAATTCAAAAACAAAACAAAACAGACCATACCTGGCCTGAAGTAGTCACATTGAGGTAGGAGTGTGACCAGAAGGTTTCAGGGTGATAGAACAGACTTCAATAAAGAAAACGCTAAAAAACAATAAATTTTAGCCAGGCGTGGTGGGACACACCTTTAATCCCAGCACTTGGGAGGCAGAGGCAAGCTGATCTCTATGGGTTCAAGGTCAGCCTGGTCTACATAGTGAGTTCCATGCCAACTGGGGCTCCTGGGAGACTCTGTCTCAAAAGGACCCCCCGCCCCCAAATTAAAATACATATATAAATTTTGGACTGTTTTGAAAATACTATATAGCTGTGCATCACTTAGTGATGTAATAGGTTCTGAGAGCTGCATTCTCAGGTGATTCCACTATCATGTGACCCTTAGAGAGCCCCTAGCACACACGGGGTTGCTGAGACAGCAGATCTGCCGACCTCCAGCTGGCCGCACTACCCACCAGCTGCTCCTGCCCAGGAGCAGTTCTAGCAGCGACCGACTGCCTTCCCTTGATCTCAGTTTCCTGGTTTGCTGATCCTGCTCCTGTTGCTTTTTTTGTTCTCCCATGTTCTTTTTATCCAGCCTTTTCAGCTTCATGTTTTTTTGTGTGTATATTAGATTATAATAATGCAGTTTTTGCTTATTTAAGAAAACTACTTCCAAATGACCAAACCCTCCTCAAAAGGCGAAATTGATAGCTGTGAAGTTGTGTTTTGTATGTTTCTAAACAGGCATGATTACGAGATGTTGATTTAGCATAGATGGCAATGTTGAATGATAAGTCATAGTTTTCCTTTTTCCTTTTTATTACTTATAATAAAGCTTTATACATCTTTTTTCCTGTTTATTCACAAAAGAAAGGTGGTGGGAGAAGCTGTGGAAGATTCCTGAAAGCATAAGGGGATGGGATGATCAGCTGAAACTCCATGTTCCTAGCCAACTCGCTTTCCAAGGTGGTGTGACTAAACCTGAGCAGCTTTTCTAGAGCTGAGTGTGCCTAGTCACATTTACTATTGAAATACTAAGTGCTACCTGCGGTTTGCTACAGAGGTTCAAATGGATTCTGTAAACAAGCTAGCTAAGCTTACTGCATGCCCTTGCATTGCTTGCATCTTGGACTGTGGGCCAAATTATGCTTTAAAAGGAGTTTAAAAATCAAAATATTTAGCCGGGCGTGGTGGCGCATGCCTGTAGTCCCAGCACTTGGGAGGCAGAGGCAGTTGGATCTCTGTGAGTTCAAGGCCAGCCTGGTCTACATAGTGAGTTCCAGGACAGCTGGGGCTACAGGGAGACCCTGCTTCAAAAAGACAAAAAAAAAAAAAAAAACCAAAAAAAACCCACACACAAAAATCAAACTATTTTACCTGTCACATGTATGGGTTAAAAAAGATGGAAGCATTAGATAATGACATGAATGTGTCAATATCTCTTATGCTAGTTTATTCATATATAATGAAAGCAATATGTATTGTAGATTCAAAAATGTTTTTAAGGAATTTTGAGCAAAAATTTTACAATTCCTGTGATTCTTTCAGAAAGTTTGACTAGAATACTGCAGTCATGATCATGAATGCTTTTGTACCATGTGATGCTTAAAGTCTTTCTTTCTCTTTATCCAAGAAATGTAACCTCACACCTGAGGCGACAGCATCTTGGAAAAACTAATGATCCATAATAACCAGATAAATATGGGCATGAGGGTCATGAACAGAGATCCCTCAGTCCCATCTGTATCACTAAGCACTAGGAATGTGTTCATTCAGTAGTGACTGCCTTTGTGTTTGTTAGCTTGTGAGTATGAACTGAACTCTTCATGCTTTGTCTTTAGAAAGCATTGCTAGCTTGAACCCTGGCTCTTGTGTGCATGGACATCCTGTTTTCCAAAGAAATGTTTTGCTTTCTTGGTGCATGAGTGTTTGTTTTTGGAGCTCTTTGTATTAAGTTCAAGTTCACACTTTATCCTTACTTCTGACTGGACTGTAGAGATTATTACTGAGTGTTCTGTCTTTCTGTCAATATGTAGTTTGTTGAAATGTGTTAAGAAATGACATGGGTGGAAACCCGAAGGTGATGTTCCAGGGGGTTGTTCCTGAACTTGAGAGTTTTTTGTGCAGGTTTTTATTCCTCAATTTGTTGTTCTTTACTGTTCTTTTCATGAAGGAGTAGCAGACTGGTCCTTGATCCCGCAGACAGCTGTTGTGTCGCTTCCTCATGCTGACATATTTACTAGAGGGTAAAATTAACAACCTTCTAGTAAGAGTGGCAGTCGAAGGGAAGGGCTCATCTGACTTCTGGAAACTGTGTTAAACTAGAGTGCTTTGAACCTGGATCATGGGGTAGTTGGATGGAAATGAAAGTAGGGACCAGATAGACCTAGGAACCTCTTGGTGGCTGCTACATTGTAAGTGACAGGAAGTTCTTGTGTTCTTTCCTGTTCCTTCAGTAGCTGTGAAACTGAGTGAAGAGACAGAGGGTTTATTTCTTTCCTGAAAGAGTATTTTTTATTAATAGCAGGGAATAGATAACAAGAATGACTAATTGCTCTAGAAGTACAGACTACAAGGTGGCAGGGGGCGGGTTGTCTTTAAAATAAAGCTAAGGAAGTTGGCTGTCAAAGCACAGAATAGTGTTTAATAGATTGCTGTACCACAGGAGAGGTGGTGCTTTGTGTCCTGTGGTAAATAGAAGCGGGCTCTTGTTTTTTTCTGTGTGGCTGTCTCAGGTTAAAAGGCATGTAGGGCTAGTATTGATTAGTCTAATCATATTTACTAGGAAAGCTTTTCTTAAAGTCTTTACCTAAACATCAATGTTTTTCTTTTTAAAATAGTCTTTTCATCTCAGCCTAGCGATGACGAATCAAGTAGTGATGAAACCAGTAATCAGCCCAGTCCTACCCCAAGACGCCGGCGGGGCAGGAAGAAGACCATTTCCACTTCAGAGTCTGAGGAACAGCCACAGGTGGAACCAGATGGGCCTCCCCAGGGGCTGAATAAGCGCCACTTCAGTGGGGGCCTCAACAAGTGTGTTATCCTGGCCTTGGTCATTGCTGTCAGCATGGGGTTTGGACATTTCTATGGTGAGTCTTGGGACATAGGTTATGCAAAATCTTTTAGTGTAGAGGTGCTGAGCAAGAGGGGCAGCCGCAGGGTCAGCTCACTGTCACTGTGAAGTAGAAGACCTTGTACCTGCTTGGGAATCTCAGTTTTCTCTGTCAATCTTAGCACAACACTATTTTCACTCAAATGCCATAGTAATTAAAAAATGTTTGTGGGGATGGAGAGATGGCTTAGCAGTTAAGAGCACTGGTGGTTTTTGCAGAATACCGAGGTTTGAATCCTAGCACACACATGACGGATAACAGCTGTCCATAGTTCCAGTTCCAGGAGATCTGAAGCCCTCTTCTCTTCTCTGCAGGCACTGCACAACACAGGGGGAGTTAAATACATGTAGGCAATACACGCATCAACATAAAATGATAATAAAAAATAATAAAATACTTAAATATTTGTGCCCCCAAATAAGGCTGGGTACGGTGGTACGTGCCTTTAATCTTACCACTAGGGAGGCAGAGGAAGCTGAATCTCTGCATGTTTCAGGCCACTCTAGTTTACATAGTGAGTTCCAGGCCAGCTGGGACTACATAATGAGACACTGTCTTAAAAAAAAGGGGCGGGGCCTGGAGAGATGGCTCAGCGGTTAAGAACACTGGTTGTTCTTGCAGAAAACCCGGGTTCTAATCCCAGCACCCACATGGCAGCTAACAACTGTCTGTAACTCCAGTTCCAGGGAATCCAACAGCCTCTTCTGGCCTCCACGGGCATTGCATGGCATGGGTGCACTTACCTACATGCAAGCAATACACGCAAACACATAAAATAAAAATAATAAATTAAAAAAAATTGAACTCAAGGTGGTTGTGGTGGGAAGATAACTGCAGGTTCAACTTCAACCTGGGCTATGGAGTGAGACCCTGTCTCAACACAAAACAAAAAAAAAAATTTAAGAGCTGGGTCCTGTGGCCTATACCTGTAGTCAGCTACTATACTTAGGGGGCAAAGCCAGAGGAGTGCTTCAGCCCAGGAGTTTGGACCAGCCTGGGCAAAGCAGCCAGACCCTGTCTCAAAAATGAAAAAGACAATCGCAAAAATTCAATTAGAAGAGCTGGGTGTGGTGGTGCACGCCTTTAGTCACAACACTGTGAATTTGGGGCAAGGCTGGCCTCCATAGTGAATCCAGGCTGTTTGTGGCTACAGGAAGACCCTGTCTCAAAAAAAAAAAATTCAATTAGAAAAAAAGGACTTTTCAGAAACTTAGCTCTTTCATTGTTAAATAATGATCTTCTTTTTAAAAAAATGGAGATTTAGCTGCGCGCGGTGGCGCATGCCTTTAATCCCAGCACTTGAGAGGCAGAGGCAGGCGGATCTCTGTGAGTTCAGAGCCAGCCTGGTCTACATAGTGAGTTACAGGACAGCTGGGGCTACAGAGAGACCCTGCCTCAAAAAAAAAAAGGAAATTTTATTTTAAAAATGAAAAAATATTAGCGGTTATATTAATTTTTTCTGTTAGAGGCAGGATCTTCCTGTGTTCCCAGGCTTGTCTTAAACCTGCATCAGACTCCCAAGTGTAATTAAGAACTATTGACATATATATTTGTGAGGATTTTTTTTTTAGTCTTTTTGAGACAAAGTCTCCCTGTAGTACCAGCTGGCCTGGACCTCACTATGTAGACCAGGCCAGCCTGGACCTCACTATGTAGACCAGGCTGGCCTGGACCTCACAGAGATCCACCTGCCTCTGCCTCTGCCTCTGGAGTGCTGGAACTAAAGGCATGAGCCACCACTCCTGGCTTGGGTTGGTTTTTTTTAAGTAAAAGATTGGAAAATTAAAAATCTGAAATTGGATGTGGTGGTATATACCTGTATTCACTCAGGAGACTGGGCCAGGAGGATCTCAACTTAGAGGAGAGCTGGACTCCATAATAACACCCTGTCTCAAAAAAAAAAAAAAAAAAAAAAAAAAAAAAAAAAAAA